AAGAGAACATGGTCCCACTTGGTCCCCAAGGAGACCCAGAGCAAGAGGGACCCCCCCCATGTCCCTGTCCCTGAGGGAATGGGGTCCCACTTGGCTCCCGGGGAGACCCACAGCAAGAGGGACTCCCCATGTCCCCATCCCCAAGAGAACATGGTCCCACTTGGTCCCCAAGGAGACCCAGAGCAAGAGGGACCCCCCCCATGTCCCTGTCCCTGAGGGAATGGGGTCCCACTTGGCTCCCGGGGAGACCCACAGCAAGAGGGACTCCCCATGTCCCCATCCCCAAGAGAACATGGTCCCACTTGGTCCCCAAGGAGACCCAGAGCAAGAGGGACCCCCCCCATGTCCCTGTCCCTGAGGGAATGGGGTCCCACTTGGCTCCCGGGGAGACCCACAGCAAGAGGGACTCCCCATGTCCCCATCCCCAAGAGAACATGGTCCCACTTGGTCCCCAAGGAGACCCAGAGCAAGAGGGACCCCCCCCATGTCCCTGTCCCTGAGGGAATGGGGTCCCACTTGGCTCCCGGGGAGACCCACAGCAAGAGGGACTCCCCATGTCCCCATCCCCAAGAGAACATGGTCCCACTTGGTCCCCAAGGAGACCCAGAGCAAGAGGGACCCCCCCCATGTCCCTGTCCCTGAGGGAATGGGGTCCCACTTGGCTCCCGGGGAGACCCACAGCAAGAGGGACTCCCCATGTCCCCATCCCCAAGAGAACATGGTCCCACTTGGTCCCCAAGGAGACCCAGAGCAAGAGGGACCCCCCCCATGTCCCTGTCCCTGAGGGAATGGGGTCCCACTTGGCTCCCGGGGAGACCCACAGCAAGAGGGACTCCCCATGTCCCCATCCCCAAGAGAACATGGTCCCACTTGGTCCCCAAGGAGACCCAGAGCAAGAGGGACCCCCCCCATGTCCCTGTCCCTGAGGGAATGGGGTCCCACTTGGCTCCCGGGGAGACCCACAGCAAGAGGGACTCCCCATGTCCCCATCCCCAAGAGAACATGGTCCCACTTGGTCCCCAAGGAGACCCAGAGCAAGAGGGACCCCCCCCATGTCCCTGTCCCTGAGGGAATGGGGTCCCACTTGGCTCCCGGGGAGACCCACAGCAAGAGGGACTCCCCATGTCCCCATCCCCAAGAGAACATGGTCCCACTTGGTCCCCAAGGAGACCCAGAGCAAGAGGGACCCCCCCCATGTCCCTGTCCCTGAGGGAATGGGGTCCCACTTGGCTCCCGGGGAGACCCACAGCAAGAGGGACTCCCCATGTCCCCATCCCCAAGAGAACATGGTCCCACTTGGTCCCCAAGGAGACCCAGAGCAAGAGGGACCCCCCCCATGTCCCTGTCCCTGAGGGAATGGGGTCCCACTTGGCTCCCGGGGAGACCCACAGCAAGAGGGACTCCCCATGTCCCCATCCCCAAGAGAACATGGTCCCACTTGGTCCCCAAGGAGACCCAGAGCAAGAGGGACCCCCCCCATGTCCCTGTCCCTGAGGGAATGGGGTCCCACTTGGCTCCCGGGGAGACCCACAGCAAGAGGGACTCCCCATGTCCCCATCCCCAAGAGAACATGGTCCCACTTGGTCCCCAAGGAGACCCAGAGCAAGAGGGACCCCCCCCATGTCCCTGTCCCTGAGGGAATGGGGTCCCACTTGGCTCCCGGGGAGACCCACAGCAAGAGGGACTCCCCATGTCCCCATCCCCAAGAGAACATGGTCCCACTTGGTCCCCAAGGAGACCCAGAGCAAGAGGGACCCCCCCCATGTCCCTGTCCCTGAGGGAATGGGGTCCCACTTGGTCCCCAAGAAGACCCAGAGCAAGAAGGACCCCCCCATGTTCCCATCCCCAACAGAACATGGTCCCACTCGGCCCCCAGGGAGACCCAGAGGAAGAGGGACCCCCCCGTGTTCCCATCCCGGAGGGAATGGGGTCCCACTTGGTCCCCAAGAAGACCCAGAGCAAGAAGGACCCCCCCATGTTCCCATCCCCAACAGAACATGGTCCCACTCGGCCCCCAGGGAGACCCAGAGGAAGAGGGACCCCCCATGTCCCCGTCCCTGAGGAAGGACGGTCCCCCATTGTCCCCCAGGAGAGCCTTCAGCCCTTCCTGGAGGAAGAGGGACCCCCCCGTGTTCCCATCCCTGAAGGAATGGGGTCCCACTTGGCCCCCAAGAAGACCCAGAGCAAGAGGGACCCCCCCATGTCCCTGTCCCCAAGGAATATGGTCCCCACTCGGCCCCTGGGGAGACCCAGAGTAAGAGGGACCCCCCCATGTCCCCATCCCCAACAGAACATGGTCCCACTCAGTCCCCAAGGAGACCCAGAGCAAGAGCGACCCCCCATGTCCCCATCCCCAAGGAAATATGGTCCGCACTTGGCTCCCGGGGAGACCCACAGCAAGAGGGACCCCCCCATGTCCCCATCCCCAACGGAACAGGGGCCCACTCAGCCCCCAGGGAGACCCAAAGGAAGAGGGACCCCCCCCATGTCCCCATCCCTGAAGGAACATGGTCCCACTCAGCCCCCAGGGAGACCCAGAAGAAGAGGGACCCCCCATGTCCCCATCCCCAAGGGAATATGGTCCCCACTTGGTTCCCGGGGAGACCCAGAGCAAGAGGGACCCCCCATGTCCACATCCCTGAGGGAATGGGGTCCCACTTGGCTCCCGGGGAGACCCACAGCAAGAGGGACCCCGCCATGTTCCCATCCCTGAGGGAATGGGGTCCCACTTGGCTCCCGGGGAGACCCAGAGCAAGAGCGACCCCCCATGTCCCCATCCCCGAGAGAAAGGGGTCCCACTTGGTCCCCAAGAAGACCCAGAGGAAGAGAGACCCCCCCATGTCCGTGTCCCTGAGGGAATGGGGTCCCACTTGGCTCCCGGGGAGACCCAGAGCAAGAGCGACCCCCCATGTCCCCATCCCCGAGAGAAAGGGGTCCCACTTGGTCCCCAAGAAGACCCAGAGGAAGAGAGACCCCCCCATGTCCGTGTCCCTGAGGGAATGGGGTCCCACTTGGCTCCCGGGGAGACCCAGAGCAAGAGCGACCCCCCATGTCCCCATCCCCGAGAGAAAGGGGTCCCACTTGGTCCCCAAGAAGACCCAGAGGAAGAGAGACCCCCCCATGTCCGTGTCCCTGAGGGAATGGGGTCCCACTTGGCTCCCGGGGAGACCCAGAGCAAGAGCGACCCCCCATGTCCCCATCCCCGAGAGAAAGGGGTCCCACTTGGTCCCCAAGAAGACCCAGAGGAAGAGAGACCCCCCCATGTCCGTGTCCCTGAGGGAATGGGGTCCCACTTGGCTCCCGGGGAGACCCAGAGCAAGAGCGACCCCCCATGTCCCCATCCCCGAGAGAAAGGGGTCCCACTTGGTCCCCAAGAAGACCCAGAGGAAGAGAGACCCCCCCATGTCCGTGTCCCTGAGGGAATGGGGTCCCACTTGGCTCCCGGGGAGACCCAGAGCAAGAGCGACCCCCCATGTCCCCATCCCCGAGAGAAAGGGGTCCCACTTGGTCCCCAAGAAGACCCAGAGGAAGAGAGACCCCCCCATGTCCGTGTCCCTGAGGGAATGGGGTCCCACTTGGCTCCCGGGGAGACCCAGAGCAAGAGCGACCCCCCATGTCCCCATCCCCGAGAGAAAGGGGTCCCACTTGGTCCCCAAGAAGACCCAGAGGAAGAGAGACCCCCCCATGTCCGTGTCCCTGAGGGAATGGGGTCCCACTTGGCTCCCGGGGAGACCCAGAGCAAGAGCGACCCCCCATGTCCCCATCCCCGAGAGAAAGGGGTCCCACTTGGTCCCCAAGAAGACCCAGAGGAAGAGAGACCCCCCCATGTCCGTGTCCCTGAGGGAATGGGGTCCCACTTGGCTCCCGGGGAGACCCAGAGCAAGAGCGACCCCCCATGTCCCCATCCCCGAGAGAAAGGGGTCCCACTTGGTCCCCAAGAAGACCCAGAGGAAGAGAGACCCCCCCATGTCCGTGTCCCTGAGGGAATGGGGTCCCACTTGGCTCCCGGGGAGACCCAGAGCAAGAGCGACCCCCCATGTCCCCATCCCCGAGAGAAAGGGGTCCCACTTGGTCCCCAAGAAGACCCAGAGGAAGAGAGACCCCCCCATGTCCGTGTCCCTGAGGGAATGGGGTCCCACTTGGCTCCCGGGGAGACCCAGAGCAAGAGCGACCCCCCATGTCCCCATCCCCGAGAGAAAGGGGTCCCACTTGGTCCCCAAGAAGACCCAGAGGAAGAGAGACCCCCCCATGTCCGTGTCCCTGAGGGAATGGGGTCCCACTTGGCTCCCGGGGAGACCCAGAGCAAGAGCGACCCCCCATGTCCCCATCCCCGAGAGAAAGGGGTCCCACTTGGTCCCCAAGAAGACCCAGAGGAAGAGAGACCCCCCCATGTCCGTGTCCCTGAGGGAATGGGGTCCCACTTGGCTCCCGGGGAGACCCAGAGCAAGAGCGACCCCCCATGTCCCCATCCCCGAGAGAAAGGGGTCCCACTTGGTCCCCAAGAAGACCCAGAGGAAGAGAGACCCCCCCATGTCCCCTTCCCCAAGAGAACAAGGTCCCACTCGGTCCCCGAGGAGACCCAGAGGAAGAGAGACCCCTCCCATGTCCCTGTCCCCAAGGAAATACGGTCCCCACTTGGCTCCTGGGGAGACCCAGAGCAAGAGGGACCCCCCCATGTCCATGTCCCTGAGGGAATGGGGTCCCACTTGGTCCCCAAGAAGACCCAGAGGAAGAGGGACCCCCCCATGTCCCCATCCCTGGCAGAACAGGGTCCCACTCAGCCCCGGGGAGACCCAGAGCAAGAGGGACCCTCCCATGTCCCCATCTCCAACAGAACATGGTCCCACTCAGCCCTGGGGAGACCCAGAGGAAGAGGGACCCCCGTGTCCCCATCCCTGAGGAAAGACAGTCCCCCCTTGACCCCCAGGAAGAGCCCTCAGCCCCTTCCCAGACCAAGATGGACCCCCGTGTCCCCGTCCCTGAGGGAACACCACCCCCACTGGCACCAGAGATGAAAGGGGGGAAGGTGACACCCGGGGACTTACAGAGGTTCAAGGGGGACATCTCCTCCCGCGGGGGCCAGGCTTGCTCGGAGGGATGAGGTTCTCCGTGGAGTCCTCCCGCCATCATCTCCCGCTTGATTTCCAACCTCAGTTGATCTTGTTTGAGTTTCTTCTGCAAGGAGGGAGGAGAAGAAAGGCCTGGAAACATCTTCCGGGCGGTGGGAGGTGGGGACGAGGTAGGAGATTGCCCCATGGGGCTGCCGGGTTGCTGGACCTTCTTGGGAAGAGTCGGGATGTGAAGCTCTCCGGGTCCGCGAGGTTCCAAGGATCCAATGGTGCCCAAAAGGCTCTTGGCCATGGATTTGGGGCCGGGAACGCCGGGATTAGAGGTGCTGCCCCTCGGTTGGGTTCTCCGTTTGAGGATCTCCCGGAGGGTGTCGATGGGGGAGCCGTTGACGTACCACTCGGTCACCCCCATCTGCCGCAGGTGGGAGCGCGCGTGGCTGGACAAACCTTTGCGGTTTTCGAAGAATTCCCCGCAGAATTCGCAGCGGATGTCGCGCACCGGCTCCGAGCCCGAGGCTGTGGAGAGAAGACAAGACCCACGTTGGCCAACGGAGAGGATGGACAGATGGACGGATGGACGGACGCAGCCCGAAGGCACCGAGGGCAGAGCCGGGGACCGGAGCACTCGGAGAACACGGAAATTGGTGTCCCTTCCCCACTGGTGTCCCCAAAAAGGGGAAAATCTCCCCCATTCTGCGTTATCCCAGTCGTGGAGAGGAGGAGGAAGGGCTCTGGATGAAGATGGGTTTCCAGGGGCACCGGAACAGGGGAAATGGAGAGGGATTCTTGTCTGGAACTGGGGGAAAAGGAGAGGGATTCCTGCCTGGAAATGAGGAAATTGAGAGGGATTCCTGCCTGGAAGTGAGGGAAAAGGAGAGAAGATTCCTGCCTGGAAGTGAGGGAAACGGAGAGGGATTTCTGCCAGAACCGGGGAAACGGAGACAAGATTCCTGCCTGGAAACAGGGAAAACTGAGAGAGATTCCTGCCTGAAACTGGAGAAAATGGAGAGGGATTCGTGCCTGGAACTGGGGAAAAGACAAGATTCCTGCCTGAAACTGGGGGAAAGGGAGAGAAGATTCCTGCCCTCAACCAGGAGAAATGGAAAGGGCTTCCTGCCTGGAACTGAGGGAAATTGAGAGGGATTCATGCCCAGAACTGAGGGAAATGGAAAAGGATTCCTTCCTGGAACCAGGGGAAACAGAGATTCCTGCCCGGAATTAAAGGAAATGGAGAGGGATTCCTTCCTGGAAACTGGGGGAAATGGAGAGGGATTCCTGTCTGGAACCATGGAAACGGAGAGGGATTCCTGCCTGGAACTGCAGGAAAAGGAGAGGAGATTCCTGCCTGGAAGTGAGGGAAACAGAGAGGCATTCCTGCCTGGAACCGGGGAAACGGAGACAAGATTCCTGCCTGGAAACGGGGAAAACTGAGAGAGATTCCTGCCCAAAATTGGAGAAAATGGAGAGGGATTCCTGCCTGGAACCAGGGAAATGGAGAGGGATTCCTGCCTGGAAACGGGGAAAACTGAGAAAGATTCCTGCCCGGAATTGGAGAAAATGGAGAGGGATTCCTGCCTGGAACTGGGGAAACAAAGACAAGATTCCTGCCCGAAAGTGGGGGAAATGGAGAGAAGATTCCTGCCTGGAAACAGAGAGGGATTCCTGCCCTGAACCAGGAGAAATGGAAAGGGCTTCCTGCCTGGAACTGAGGGAAATTGAGAGGGATTCATGCCCAGAACTGAGGGAAACGGAGAAGGATTCCTTCCTGGAACCAGAGGAAACAGAGATTCCTGCCCGGAATTGAAGGAAACTGAGAGAGATTCCTTCCTGGAAACTGGGGGAAACAGAGAGGGATTCCTTCCTGGAACTGGGGAAATGGAGAGGGATTCCTTCCTGGAACTGGGGAAATGGAGAGGGATTCCTGCCTGGAACCGGGGGAAAAGGAGAGAAGATTCCTGCCTGCAAGTGAGGGAAACGGAGAGGGATTCCTGCCAGGAACCATGGAAACAGAGAGGGATTCCTGCCTGGAACCGGGGAAAAGGAGAGAAGATTCCTGCCTGGAAGTGAGGGAAACGGAGACAAGATTCCTGCCTGGAAATGGGGAAAACTGAGAGAGATTCCTGCCCAAAACTGGAGAAAATGGAGAGGGATTCCTTCCTGGAACCGGGAGAAATGGAAAGGGATTCCTGCCTGGAGTTGAGGGAAACAGAGAGGAATTCCTGCCCAAAACAGAGAAAACAGAGAGAAGATTCCTGTCCGGAACCCAGGGAAACAGAGAGATTCCTGCCTGAAATTGGAGAAAATGGAGAGGGATTCTTGCCTGGAACCAGGGAAACGGAAAGGGACTCCTGCCTGGAGCTGAGGGAAACAGAGAGGAATTCCTGCCCGAAATAGAGAAAACGGAGAGATTCCTGTCCAGAATCCAGGGAAACAGAGATAGATTCCTGCCTGGAACTGGGGAAACTGAGAAGGATTCCTTCCTGGAACTGGGAGAAATGGAGAGAGATTTCTGCCAGAAACCAGGGGAAATGGAGAGGGATTCCTGCCTGGAAATGGGGAAAATGGAGAGGGATTCCTGCCAGAACTGGGGAAATGGAGAGGGATTCCTGCCTGGAACCGGGGGAAACGGAGAGGGATTCCTGCCTGAAATAGAGAAAATGGAGAGAAGATTCCTGTCTGGAACCCAGGGAAACAGAGAGAGATTCCTGCCTGGAACCAGGGGAAACTGAGAAGAATTCCTTCCTGGAACCAGGGGAAACGGAGAGGGATTCCTGCCTGGAACTGGGGAAACGGAGAGGGATTCCTTCCTGGAACTGGGGAAATTGAGAGAGATTCCTGCCTGGAACTGGGAGAATCAGAGAGGGATTCCTGCCTGGAACTGGGAGGAAAGGAGAGAAGATTCCTGCCCGGAATTGGGAGAAATGGAGATGGATTTCTGTCTGGAACTGGGGAAAAACCACAGCAGCAGCTGGAATCTACACGGAAGAACCCAGCGAGATAAGTTCAGGAGGAGGGAAAATGGGCACGGGCAGGACTTCTCCAGCCGAATTTATCACCCTACGGCTCCAAGAAACCCCACAGGGAGAGGAAATCCCCGGCCGTGGGGATTCTGGGGGGAAAAAAGTCACCGACGGAGGTTGGGGACAAAGAAGGACGGGGCAGGGTCTCTCCAAGAGCATCCGACGCTGGAAAAGGCAACAGGGAATGGGCCATCGCTGGCCAAAGCCACCGCGCTCCATCGGGAGGAGCTGAGGGAGGTGAGAAAAGCAGGGAAAAGAGAGGTGGAGAGGTCAAAAAGCAGAAAACCAGCATTTTTCCCCAAAATCCCAACAGAAATCCCCATCTTCCCAGTCAGGGAAGAGCATCCCCTTCCCATAGTCGTGACGTATCACCCCACCGAGCTCTGTGCCCTCCCGAGGGATTCCTGGGAGCGGGATGGGAAAAGCCAGGGGTTTCCCCTCCCCTCAGCCAAAGGGAGAATATCCCTAAAAAAATCAGAAACTCACTTAAATTGAGGGGTCCTTCCTCATCCGCCTGCGGCCACTGGGCTTTCGGAGAGCTCTGCAGAGGGCTGAGGGACAGCTTGGAGCTTTTCTCCTCGGGGTTTTTGGGAGAGGGGGACCCCGAAAGAGCCGCCGGCACCTTCTTAAGGATGGGGGATCCCGGTTGGGAAAGGTTTTTGGAAAAACCGGGAGGGGATTTGATGGCTTTATTGATGGGTCCGTCCGAGGAGCGATCGCCGCCTTTGCCCAGCCCCAGGAGGGTGGGTCGAGGGGAACCGGCGGCGTCTTTGGGGGACCCGGTTTTTTTGCCCAAGGGGGGGGAGAGGGGGCCGCCGTCGGGTTTGCCTTTTTGTTTCATCAGTTCGTAGAGCAGATCGATGGGAGCCCCGCTGCTCTCCGACTCGGCCACGCCGAGCTGCCGCAGGTGGGAGCGGGCATGGCTGGATAAACCTTTGCGGGTTTCGAAGCAGGCGCCGCACACTTCGCACGTCGTGAGGTTCTGGGCTGGAAAAAACAAACCAAAACAACAACAAAAAAAAAGAAAATCAAGGCAAAGTCCAGAGGAGCAGCGTCCGGCCGCGTCGTTTCTCTCCCCCGAGGGATTTTTGTACCACCCTCAACCTTAATTTTTAATCTTTAAATGCTCCGCTCGTCCCTGCGAGGGCAGGAATAAAGCGGGGAAAAGCTTTATTGGGAGGACAAGAATCACCGCCCCGGGGTGGAAAAAGGAGGGTTTTCCCACTCAAAAAAACATTTTCCAGAGTGTTTTTGGAAGCTTTGCCCAAAATCGGGGAGCCCACAGGGCCGGAGGAGGATCTCAAAGCGATGGTTTTAGGGGGAGGTGGTTCATAAGGAAAGGATGGAGTGATTAAGGTGGGTTAATGAGGATGGGGATCAAAATTGGGGAGCCCCCAGGGCCGGAGGAGGATCTCAAAGCGATGAAGGTTTTTAGGGGAAGGTGGTTAATTAGGAAAGGATGGAGTGATTAAGGTGGGTTAATGAGGATGGGGAGGACACGCATTTTCCAGAGAGTCTTTGGAAGCTTTGTCCAAAATTGGGCATCCAAAGCCCAGCCAGGGAGAAAGGGGGATCTTAAAGCGATGGTTTTAGGGGAAGGTGGTTAATTAGGAAAGGATGGAGTGATTAAGGTGGGTTAATGAGGATGGGGAGGACATGCATTTTCCAGAGAGTTTTTGGAAGCTTTGCCCAAAATCGGGCATCCGAAGCCCAGCCAGGGAGAGAGAGGGATCCCAAAGCGATGGTTTTAGGGGAAAGTGGTTAATTAGGAAAGGAAGGAGTGATTAAGGTGGGTTAATGAGGACGGGGAGGACGCTCTGGTCCTGGGGAGCTTCAAAAAGCAACGTAAACCAGCAATACTGGAGTCCGACACAGCCACCCTCTCAATTAGAGGATTAATTATGCAAAAAGAGCTGAAAATCTTCCCGGATGAGGTTAAACAAACACCTGCTGAGCTCCCTGCTCCCAAACCTGGCGCTTGGCCGTCAGAGAGGGTGAAAAAGTGGGTGAAAATACTCACATTTGGAGTCCTGAGGCTCTGGTTTGCTCCCAGGGGGCTCAGGAGAGAGTTTGGTCCCGATCCTGGTGGGGGGAGGATCCAGCTGCCCGGGGGGAGCGCTTTTTTTGGGGAGAGGGGGTGACCCCACCTCCATGGCCACCAGTTGTTCCTCTTCCGGAGCCAGGACTGCCAAGAGAAGGAAACGGTCGGCTACTGAGACAGGAAGGGGGGAGGAGGGGAGGGAACAGGGATGGTGGCAGCTCCCTAAGGGGAAGGGACAAGGAAGGTGACAGGTCCCTGCAGAGGGGACAAGAGGGATGGTGGCAGGTCCCTTCATGGAGCAGGATGGGGATGGTGGCAAATCCCTGAAAGCCCAGCCAGGGAGAGAGAGGGATCCCAAAGCGATGGTTTTAGGGGAAAGTGGTTAATTAGGAAAGGAAGGAGTGATTAAGGTGGGTTAATGAGGACGGGGAGGACGCTCTGGTCCTGGGGAGCTTCAAAAAGCAACGTAAACCAGCAATACTGGAGTCCGACACAGCCACCCTCTCAATTAGAGGATTAATTATGCAAAAAGAACTGAAAATCTTCCCAGATGGGGTTAAACAAACGCCTGCCGAGCTCCCTGCTCCCAAACCTGGCGCTTGGCCGTCAGAGAGGGTGAAAAAGTGGGTGAAAATACTCACATTTGGAGTCCTGAGGCTCTGGTTTGCTCCCAGGGGGCTCAGGAGAGAGTTTGGTCCCGATCCTGGTGGGGGGAGGATCCAGCTGCCCGGGGGGAGCGCTTTTTTTGGGGAGAGGGGGTGACCCCACCTCCATGGCCACCAGTTGTTCCTCTTCCGGAGCCAGAACTGCCAAGAGAAGGAAACGGTCGGCTACTGAGACAGGAAGGGGGGAGGTGGCATCATTCTGGGGAGGTTTAAGCCACTTTGGGGAGCTCAGGAAAGAGAATGGGAGAGGGGGGGGCTCTGCACAGGTCCCTGCAGAGGGGACAAGAGGGATGGTGGCAGGTCCCTTCATGGAGCAGGATGGGGATGGTGGCAAATCCCTGAAAGGAAGGGACAGGGAAGGTGGCAGCTCCCTGTCAGGGAGGGGAAGGGGACAGTGGGAGGTCCCTAAAGGGAAGGGGACAGTGGCAGGGCCCTGAAGGGAAGGGGACAGGGGGAGGTCCCCAAAGGGAAGGAATAGGGATGGTGGCAGGTCCCTGCAGAAGGGACAGGACAAGGAAAGTGGCAGGTCCCTGCCAGGGAGAGGACGGTGGCAGATCTCTAAAGAGAGGGGACAGGGAAGGTGGCAGGATCCTAAAGGAAGGGGATGGGGAAGGTGGCAGCTCCTTGTCAAGAGAGGGGAAGGGGACAGGGAAGGTGGCAGCTCCCTCCGGGGGTGGGGGACAGGGATAGTGGCAGGTCCCTAAGGGGAAGGGACAAAGGGGATGGTGGCAGATTCCTAAGGGGAAGGGACAAGGAGGGGATGGTGGCAGATTCCTAAGGGGAAGGGACAGAAAAGGTGCCAGATCCCTGCAGGGGAAAGAATAAGGACAGTGGCAGATTCCTTCTTGGGGGAGGATGGGGATGGTGGCAAGTCCCTAAGGGGAGGGGACAGGAAAGGTGACAGGTCCCTAGGGGGAGGGGACAGGGAAGGTGGCAGCTCCCTCCGGGGGTGGGGGACAGGGATAGTGGCAGGTCCCTAAGGGGAAGGGACAGAAAAGGTGCCAGATCCCTGCAGGGGAAAGAATAAGGACAGTGGCAGATTCCTTCTTGGGGGAGGATGGGGATGGTGGCAAGTCCCTAAGGGGAGGGGACAGGAAAGGTGACAGGTCTCTAAGGGGAGGGGACAGGGAAGGTGGCAGCTCCCTCCGGCGGGGAGGACAGGGAAGGTGGCAGCTCCCTAAGGGGAGAGGGAACAAGAAAGGTGGCAGGATCCTAAGGGAAGGGAATAGGGATGGCGGCAGGTCCCTAAGGAGGGAGGATGAGGATGGTGGAAGGTCCCTACAGGGGAGGGGACAGGGAAAGTGGGAGCTGTCTGGGGAAGGAGGAGGGGGAAGATGGCAGGTCCCTAAGTGGGGGGACGGGGAAGGTGGCAGGTCCCTGCAAGGGGGGAGGACAGGGAAGGTGGCAGGATCCTAAGGGAAGGGAACAGGGATGGTGGCAGGGTCCTAAGGAGGGAGGATGAGGATGGTGGAAGGTCCCTACAGGGGAGGGGACAGGGAAAGTGGGAGCTGTCTGGGGAAGGAGGAGGGGGAAGATGGCAGGTCCCTAAGTGGGGGGACGGGGAAGGTGGCAGGTCCCTGCAAGGGGGGAGGACAGGGAAGGTGGCAGGATCCTAAGGGAAGGGAACAGGGATGGTGGCAGGGTCCTAAGGAGGGAGGATGAGGATGGTGGAAGGTCCCTACAGGGGAGGGGACAGGGAAGGTGGGAGCCGTCTGGGGAAGGAGGAGGGGGAAGGTGGCAGGTCCCTAAGTGGGGGGACGGGGAAGGTGGCAGGTCCCTAAGGGGGCAGAATGGGGAAGGATGAAGCTCCGTGTAGGAGTGAGGAGGAGGATGGTGGCAGGTCTATAGGGAGGGGGGAAGCAGAAGGGCGCCGTTCC